AGAGACAGTCATGGAAGCCAACAGTCACAGCAAGGACCTGTGAGGAACACAGCACCACAGGATCCTCAGGAAGGGCATTAACAGTGGGCTGGGAGGGTAGTGGGAGGCGTTCTCCGAGGACCAGGTTGACTAGTAGAAGGGAGAAGCTGCTGGGAAAGGAGTAACAAGAGGGAGACCGAAGCTAGAGACACAGGCAAGAGTCAGGTAATGACAGAAGCTGGAAGTGCTGGGAAGTCACCAGGGCTTCAGGCCGGGATGTGGCGTGGTGAATGGGTTTCTTGGAAGTTACCTCTATGACCATGGGGTAGCATGAAACAGAGGAGGGCAGAATGGGGTAAGGAGAACTCCTGAGGGAACCAGAACCAGGGTGGATTTAGATTCGAGAGTCACCCAGGAGGCACCATCCACAAGGCCAGGTGCTGTTTGGACATGTTTGGGGAGAAGAAGAGATGTCCAGCGTGGCTCGCAGGCTTCTGGAATGGGCAGCCAGGTGGAAAATAGTGACATTCCCTAAGAGGGAGTGCTGAAAGACAGATTTGGGCATGGAGTGGAGACAGGGCCCTTAGTTTTGAGCTTTATCAGGTATGAGATGCCCCTGAATAGCAGTGGGCTGCTTTAGGCTGGGGCACAGCCGAGATGTGCATGCCGGGGAGGTTTTCTGGAGTCATCTATGTCGGTCGCTGTTGAAGCAACTTAGCCATTCAGTGGCTATTAAGGGCAGACTTCCCGGGCCGGCTTCATGGGCTATCAGAAGGGCCTCACATTCAGCTTCATACTCTGCTGTGGCCATCTTGAAAGTCTCCATTTCGAAACAAGGGGCCCTGTGTTTTTATGTTGCACTAGACCTTGAAATTGGCAGCCAGTCCTGCCTACAGCTGCTGGCTCTGGGCACAGTAGTAGGCTGCAGCGCTGATCCAGGTAGACGGGGTTCTTCCTTAGGAAGAACCAGGAGACGTATGGTTAAGTCATCATTTACAAAAGCTCATGCATCCTGTATTCAGAGTAGGAGAGGAATGGGTGGAACCCAACCATGGGGTGGAATTAGGAAGTCAAATGGCCCCAGGGAGGGCTGTGAAACAGAATTCCAGTCCACAGCCCCACAGAAGGGATGGAGAAGTCTGAGAGGTGTCTCCTGGGAGCTAGGGGGAAGCCAGGAGGTGGCATGTCCCAGAAACCAGGGCTGGGAGATGGTCAGATGCTGCTGGGGAGATCACAGTGATGACATGCTGGTGGGTGTGGCCACAGAGGGGCATATGGCGACTCTAGTGACAGCGGCTGGGCAAAGAGGGGGCAAGAAGGTAACTTACCTCTGTTTGAGGGACCGGTAAGAGATGAGGAAGGAGAGGCCCCCAAATGCAGATGACGATTCATTTATAAGTCCTGGCTTAGAGGAAAAGCAAAAAGGTCCATCCCTGAAGGTGGGTTTTAGGCTAGTATTTGTCTGGCTTTGGTTTCACTTTGTTTGATTTTAAACATGAAGTGTGGCTTTGTATTCTGGGCAGTGAGCCTGTAGAGAGAGAGAGGCAGAGGATACAGGAGTGGGGGAACTGATTGACGTGGGCAGTGGTGGACGGACTGGCCATGGTCAGAGAGAGCAGGAGAGTAGACAGTGAGGAAGCTGGAAGTTTCTAGACGAAGGCTGCTCATGGCTCCGGAAGTCACCCCACATTCCTTGGTTAAGTGAACATCTGCCTCAAATTCAAGGGCACAGTACCTCATGAGTTCTCTCATCTGCTCTTTTATTGATTGATTGTTAATTTGAGACAGGTTCTTGCTCTTTTGCCCAGGCTGAGGTACAGTGGTGTGAATATAGCTCACCATAGCCTAGACCTCCCGGACTCAAGCGATCCTTCCCCTTCAGCCTCCCAAGCAACTGAGACTGCACACATGCACCATGATGCCTGGATAGGTTTTTTTTTTTTTTTTTTTTTTTTTTGGGAGAGACGAGGTCTCTCTATGTTGCCCAGGTGGGTCTTGAACTCCTGGCCTCATGCAGTCCTCCCTCCTTGGCCTCCCAGAGCTCTGGGATCGCAGGTGTGAACCACCATGCCCAGCCTCATCTGCTCTTTTATTCAACAAAGGTTCATTGGTCTCTTGTTCCGTGCCAGGTGATGGAACATAAGCGTGAACAGAAAGACAAAGTCCCAGAGAAGACTCTTCTCTGGCCTGACTGAGCACTGCTGGCTCCTCCCAGTGACTCACAATGAGTGACACTCAGGAACCATGTAGAAAAAGAGTGGGAAAAAGTGAAGGCTAGCTTTTCTTTTCTTTTCTTTTCTTTTTTTAGTCAGGGTCTCACTCTGTCACCCAGGCCAGAGTGCACAGTGCAGTGGGCAACAGCACTGAAGTGGTCCTCCCTCCTCAGCCTCCCAAGTAGCTGGGACTACAGGCATGCACCACCATGCCCAGCTAATTCTTTCATTTTTTTGTAGAGCTGGGGATCTCCCTACGTTGCCCAGGTTGATCTCAGACTCCTGGCCTCAAACAATCCTCTTGCCTCAGCCTCCCAAAGTGCTGGGGTTACAGGTGTGAGCTACCATGCCAGCTAAGACTAACTTTAAGCAACATTTTGAAGATGATTGCCTTTGGAACTTATTACATAATGACCTTTCCTCCAGCTCCCTGGCTCTCTGGGAACCCCTAAGCACTCTAAGATTAAGCCCCACACTCGATTTTCCTTTAAATTCTTCAAGTTTCTCCATCCTCTGTCAAACTCCTACTCCCTTAGAGTAGCTGTACGGTGGGGGGGGGACCCAAAAAAGCAGAATTTCTTTACAAAATATAGTGTTTATTCTTCCATGTTTACGCTTAAGTCACCTGCAAAGTGCTCTCCGTTGGATGCAATACACCTGTCGAGATGCCTTTTCCACTGCTCAAAACTGTTTCTGAACTCGTCCATTTTGATGCCTTTTTAGGGCTTCTGCTGTTTTTTTGTTTCACCTCTCCTGTGTCGGCAAAACATTTCCCTGTGAGGACATTTTTCATCCAGGGAAACAAAAAAAGTCACTCAGGGTGAGATTGGGTGAGTAGGGAGGGTGGGGCACGGGGGTCATGCCGTTTTGGGGTCCGAGACTGCTGAACACTCAGCGCAGTGTGGGCAGGATCGCCAGAGCCCAGTACGTCGAGTCTGTGGTGGCCGGGAGCGTGCCACTGCACTTCACTCCGATCTGGGTGGCAGAGTGAGACTCTAACTCAAAAAAAAAAAAGAAGGAATCAGTCCCTTGTCATTGTTCAGGCTGCATAATAAAAGAAGGGATAAGGAATATCATAAGACGCATCTTCTCAGAGTCCACACCCCTAAACTTTTCTGTTTTCTCACAGCTTCTACTGTTTTGGTCTTCCTAGAGCCATATGTTCTCTAAAGCCCCCCACATCTTGTTGTCATCCCTCTCCCTGCCTGCACCCCCCACACACCCGTTTCTATGAGCAGCAACTGGGACACAGGTAGCAGGGGCTGGGGGCGGGGCCGTGACAGCTGTAGCTATTTATCGGATGGTTTCCAAGTCAGGGATGCCTTTGCAGTGGGGGAGAGGCACTGGGGGGCTCCTTGGCACCAAGAATGCAGCCCCCCCTAGAGTCAGGAGGTGCCCACCTGGAGCCAAGCTGATGGAAGACCCTTCTCGTGCTGGTGAGAAGCCTGTGGGGTCTCGGGTCTCGGGTCTCAGGTCTCTGGCTCCCCGATGCCAGGGAACTGTGGATTCATGTAGAATGCAGTTCCCCAAGTGGCTCCTGTCTGTTGTCAAATGGCAGCATTCGATACGAGTGGCAGTCAGGTGCCACTTTGGAATTGGAGGTCTGAGAATGGGTGGCGCCCTGGGAACTGGCTCAGGAGAGGCCACGCCATGGCGAAGGATCCTGTGGCCTCACTTCTGGACATTGGGGGATGCCTCTCAGATATCCTTGTGTAGGCCACAGCTCATGCAGTTTTTGGAGTATGTGAATGTCCCAAGCCTTAAGGAGAGATGAGGGGAGAGTGGTTTTTTCTGGACCCAGGACATCATCCTAGAAACTCAAGAGTCTGGGCCGGACGTTCTTGAACTTTAATGTGCTCATGAACCTGGGGACCACAGCACAGTGCAGAGTCCGATATGGGAAGTCTGGCATGGAACCTGGGACTCTGCATTTCTGACAAGCTCCCTGGGGGGATCAGTGTTGCTGTCCCACAGATCACTTGGGCGACAGGGACCTGGAGTGGCTCTGTCAGTACGTTGAACACTAGCACATGCGACTGTCTAAACATGTTAAGTGAATTAAAAGTGAAAATTATCTGAGCACAGTGATGCACACCTGTTATCCCAGCACTTTGGGAGGCCAAGGTGGGAGGATCTCTTGGGCCCAGGAGTTTGACACCAGTCTGGGCAGCATAGCGAGACCTTGCCTCCACAAAGAATAGAAAAATTAGCCAGGCATGGTGTGTGTACCTGTAGTCCCAGCTACAGGAGGCTGAGGTGAGAGGATCTCCTGAGCCCAGGAGGTGGAGGCTGTGGTGCACCATCATCATGCCACTGCACTCCAGCCTGGGTGACAGAGTGAGACCCCGACTCAAAAATAAATAAAATAAAAATGCAGTTCCTTAGCTGCACTGACCGCAATTTATAAATGTTCAGAACCCACATGCCATCAGTGGCTGCCATATTGGACGGTACACATAAAACATTACAGCAATCACAGAAGGTCCTACTGGCAAATGCTGGGGTAAAGTGAATCTCTGTTGCTTCATTCATTCATTCATTCATTCACTGAGCATTTGTTATGTGCCAAGTAGTATGCTTGGTGTTGAAGCATTAAGGCGTGGTGACAGCTAGCAGAAAAAGTAAACAGAGGCCAACTGGAATGCAAGGGGCTTCAGTGGAGATGCCTCCCTTGTGGGGAGGACTCCAGAGCTGGGAGCAGTGGCAGCGTCTCCTGGCGTCTTGTGTGCGGGCTGACCATGCTGTGGTTGTCTCAGGGTCGGAACACTTCCGAGACAGGCTGCTGATGGTGCATTTTCCCCATTCCAGGGCCATCATCCTCAGAAATGGAGAAGTCATCCCCATGTCTTCGGAGTTCACCCCCGAGACGGAGCGACAGCGACTTCAGTACCTGGTAAGCGTCGCCGCCGGGGCTTGGCAGAGCACGGTGACCTCAGGGCTGGCCTGGGAGCTGTTCTGGAGGGACACGTGGCCACCGACATGGGATCGGCCCTCCACTCCTTCCACCCCACACCTTCAGGCTCACACATCTGGCTCCGCGTGCAATGACACACTCCACTGCCACCATGGGTTTGCCACATGCGTGACTCTCCCATCTGCGACCCACGGAAGGCGTGATGTGCTCTGGGTTATTCTGATGGTTGGTGATGTCCAGTGTGAGATGTGATTTTGAAGAACACAGATCCTTTCCGCCTTGGCTGGCTGCTCACTTGATAGCTCAAACAGGGGCTCGGTGCATATCCCACTTTGAGGAGGGACCGTTGCAGCTTGGAGGGCGCCGCTGGCACCGCCACCTTGTGTGCAGATCAGAGGTTGCATGGGCCCTTGGGGAAAGGCACGAGTGTCAGAAAATGTGCTTCTCTCCAGAAAATAAATTCTGTGTAGATCACCCTCTCTGGAATGAAATTGTGAGAGGAGCCCAGGACTTGGCTATCCTCAAAAATCTCAGTTTTCTGGAAAACTGAATATAAACTCACTTCCATGACCTCAGATTCCAGGGGGAGGCTCAGAATCGCCATTAAAAAGGACTTTGGTCGGGCGTGGTGGCTCACACCTGTCATCCCAACACTTTTGAAGGCTGAGGTGAGAGGATTGCCTGAGTTTGGGGGTTCGAGACCAACCTGAGCAACTTGGTGAGCCCTTGTCTCTACAATAAAAATCAAAAAATTAACTGGGTGTGGGGGCACATGCCTGTAGTTCCAGCTTCTTGGAAGGCTGAGGCGGAAGGATTGCCTGAGCCCAGCAGGTTGAGACTGGGGTGGCCATGAGTGTGCCACTGCACTTCAGCCTGGGTGACAGAGTGAAACTACAACTCAAAATTAAAAAAAAAAAAAAAGGACTTTGGTAATCATCTTAGGTTACTTGGGGGCGAACTTCTCTGTGGACTCACCTATGCGTAGTCTTCGTGTGGGTAAAATGTTTTCTCGCCAACTGGATTTCTTTTCAGACAGCAGCAAAAGCGGTGACCATCCACTTTTAGGAGAGAATTGATCCAGGCTGCTCTAAAAGGACCTTGTTCATGACTCTGAATTTCCGGACATGTGAACAGTCAGGACTGCATGACTTTGGTTGATTGAGAAACTAGCTGTGCCCTCTTCCTTGATTTTTTGTCTAAGTTTTTGTTTTATTCTACAAGCGGTGTAATTGTTTCTAGGTATCTGGGATATAAGACAACAGGACTCCAAAACCATTGTAAAAACAGTGCTCCTCTCTTGTACCTGTGGTTACTTTCTAGCCTTCATGGTGCTATCTTCAGGCTGATGAACTTGAATCCGCTCCCAGGGAATCTGGTGGTCAGCCTCTTGGCTTTCTTTGGTAGCCTAGATAGCAGCAACAGAAGATCTTCATTCCAGTTCCAGCTCTCTTTTTTTTTTTTAGTTGAAGCCTTACTGTCACCCAGGCTGGAGTGCAGTAGTATGCTCCCAGCCACCACAGCCTCGACCTGCTGGGCTCCAGTGATCCTTCTGTCTCAGCCTTCCAAGTAGCCAGAATTACAGGCGCCTGGCTAATTTTTTATTTATGGTAGAGACGAAACCTCACCAAGCTGGTCTAAATACCACGGGCTCGGGCAGTCTACTCGCCTCGACCTCCCAAAGTGCTGGGATGACAGGTTGAGCCCCTGAGCTTGGCCCCTCATTTTTATTTAAGAGCCACCACTAATATTGCTGAGATGAATGTATATTTTGAACAATCAATGTGGACACTATCAGCCCACAGAACTGAGCCAATGTCTGAATTTTTTAAAAGGTGAGAGCACTGTCCACGTGCTTTTTAATCCTTACTCCCAAGTCAGATAGTTTACTCCAGCTTATTACTAAAAAGCTTTCTCCCCAGACATGAGGAGTGTCAATGATCAAAACATAAAACGCCTTGGCTGTCCAACTTTTTATTCCATCAGGAGTGTAGGAATATAAAGCTTGCGAATGAACAGATCCAGTAATAATATTCACATGATCTGTGAAGTGGATCTTTGTGGCAAAGTATTTGAGAGAATTAGAATACTCTTAGCATAAATAACCTAGTGGTGACAACTTCATGGCAAAATATTTGAGAGCGTTAGATGGTGTATAGTGTAAAATATTAAAAATAGTGTCAACTGTGAGAAGAAAACAGGAAGGTGACATGGACTTCTCTGCACAGCTCAATCTTGAGCCATGTGACCTCGAGCCCCTCACACAATGTCTCTGAATTTCCCTTTCTCTTGAGTGAACTGGGTCGAAATACTTCCCTTAAGATACTCATAACATGTTCAGAAATCAAAATGAAAAGCAATCTCATGGTAATATAAAATATAGACTCATGCCTGTAATCCCAACACTTTGGGAGGCCCAGGCAGGAGGATGACTTGAAGCCAAGAATTTGTGACTAGCCGGGGCAACATAGCAAGACCTCCTCCCTAAAAAAATGAAAAATAAAAAACTAATGGGGTGTGGTGGTGCACACCTGCAGTCCCAACTACTCGGGAGACTGGGTTGGGAGAATTGCTTAAGCCCAGGAGATTGGGGCTGCAATGAGAATGATCCTACCACTGCACTCCAGTGCTGGTGACCAAACAAGAACCCATCTCTATAAAAAAATTTTTCAAATTAGCTAGACGAGGTGGTACCCGCCTGTAGTCCCAGGTACTTGGGAGGTGGAGGCAAGTCACCTGAGCCCAGGAGGTTGAGGCTACAGTGAGCTATGATCACACCATTTCACTCCAGCCTGGGTGACAGTACGAGACCCTGTCTCAAGAAATAGGAAGAGAAGGAGGGAGGGAGGGAAGAAGGAAGGAAAGAAGAAAGGAAAGAAGGCAGGCAGGCAGGCAGGCGGGTAGGAAGACGGTATACTATTTTATAATTTTAAATACATCTAAACCTACTGATTTATTTTTGTGAAACATTTGTTCCCTTGTATAATTGTGAAACACTTCAGTACCATGATAGCTGTTGTATCTTTTTCCTTTACCTGATCTCAGCCAGTTAGTACTTTGCTGGAAAATTAACAGCACATTCCTTATTCTTAGGTCAAATCAAACTTTATGGTGTGTGAAGACACATTGATGATGGAATGCTTACCACATCTGTGCCCCTGGCCACTTGCTGTGAGCAGATGTCTGCAGTCCCAGGGCTTGTTTGACTTGGAGAAATGATTCATGGCTTCCTTGTGCATGGGGAAGGTGGTCAGAGCCCTTTGCACACGAACCATTTTGATCCTTGTTGAAGAAGAATGTCTGGTGTTTGTGGTATGCACCGTCTGGATGCCGGGGATTACAGAACTGGATGCAGATTGCGGGAGGATGGATGTGATAGGCGTGTTGGTCTCGTTTGGGCCTTCATGTGGCCCTCTGGGTCATGTGGACTTGGTTTTGTAGATTCTCAGGCAGGGTGCTCACGGAGCAGGCTTGCACGCGTGTTGTGTCCACATGGACCATGGCAGGTGTACAGGGAGGGTGGAGACTGCACCCCTGCCCAGCAGCCATCATGAAGAAGCCTTAAAAAAAACTACTTCTAGGGTGATTGAAACATAATATTTTAGGGGATCCACTAAGCTAGTCAGAATGTTTTGATGAAGTCAAGACTCAGATGGAAGGGAAGGGGACCTGGTTTCTGGGAGTTTCTCAGTGGGGTTTACTGCTCTGGTGCTGTGGCCTCAAAGAAATCCCCCTACCTTTGCTCGAAGTGACAGCCAGAAGGAGATCTCCATCAGGGGACCCTTGCATCCCTGAGGTTTGAGAGTGCTGACTCTCCCTCCATTCTGCTGGGAGTTTATAAACTCCCATGTGATGGTGTCAAGATGTGCTGGTATCATCCGACCTTCAAATGATGCTTTTCTGTCCTGGCTGAATAGTCAGAGTCCACAGCTGTTTCTTATCATAGGACAATGTTTGGGAAAGGTGACAGTGGGTTTCTGATGCACATTTGCACAGCGTTATCTGAAGTGACAGCTTGCTGTGTCTTTGGGCCTTCCCCAGCTCTCTGCACCATGCCCAGGTCTGTCTGCCTCGGTTTCCATAGTGCTGCTGGACTGGAAAGGCTTCCAGTAAATGGAGCCATGCCTCTCGGCTTTCTGGGTTTTTCGTGCTCAAGAGTCATCTCCAGAAGAGCATTTCTTAAGCCCAAGCCTGCTCTGAAGACAGGAGGGTCTAATCGAAAAGTTCAAGTGTACTCATGGGTAAAAATGATGGGTGCGCCCCCTCTGTATCCCACTTAACCTTGAAAGCAGATGGTTAAACCCAGCAACCCTAGCTACAGTCACAAAAAGATGTCTCCGCCACATCTCTGCCTTAGGAGGGCATCTGAGTCATGGAAAAATCCTCTCCAGTCCCACCTCCCTCTTCTGTAAAGCTGCATATGACTTTCAAGTTTTCTCATTACAAAATGACAGGCTAGGCCAGGTGCGATGACTCATGCCTGTAATGCCAGCATTTTGGGAGGCCAAAATGGGAGGATCCCTCAAGCCCACGAGTTGGAGACCAGCCTAGGCAACATAATGAGACTCAAATATATATATATATACACACATATATATATATATTTTTTTTTTTTAACAAAAAAAATCAAAAAATTAGCTGGGCATGGTGGCACCTGTATCCCAACTACTTGGGAGACTGAGGCAGGAGGGTCACCTGAGTCCAGGATGTCAAGGCTGCGGTGAGCTGTTATCATGCCACTGCACTCCAGCCTGGGTGACAGAGTGAGACCCCAACCTAAAAAAAAAAAGGGCAACAGGCTAAAAGCTATGGTGACATGTTTTCTGTTGACTAAGGGTTCTAAGGATCATGTAAGAATTTTAATGTGAATCTTTCTGGAAATCCTCATCCATCAGACAGAATTTTATCATATCCAATTCTGTAATAGCTTATGTATCCGAGCTTGGTTCTTGCCACTTTGAGATTTTTTTAAAGAACAAATT